TTGACGCACTTTTCTGTTTTCAGATCTGTAGTGTCTGTAACGAAAGAGGAGCAGGTATTGGCTGTTGCTCTTCTGCCTGCCGGCGCGTTTTTCATCTTCCATGTGCGATCCGCTCCATGTGCTTTCTGGATTATGAAGAGTATAGGTACCTTTTTTGAACATTATGTTACGTTTTTCAATCTTCTGCTAGACACTACTGCTTGATAAATGGTTTTTAAGGTGCTTCTGTCCTAAACATGCAGAAGTAGCATTTAAAAGTACAACTTCGTCCACTTTTCTCACGAAATAATATGAAGGTACGCTGCATTTAGGGATTGAATTCACTCGTATGATGAAAATGAAAGCGAACATCTCAGAATGGAAAGCGCTGGAGAAATCTGAAGATCAAAGTGCATAGTCTAGCAGCGATAATATCCGAAACACAGAACATGTCTAGGAATTATTCTCATTGCTGTACTCATGCCAAATCGCGCATTTCAGAAAAACAAAGACGATTTGTGCTGCCTCTGCATGGACAAAGTTGAGCCGAACATAATTATGCATTCTGTCATCAAGACGGATTGCTGTGGACCACGTTTCTACCACTTCGACTGTATGCTGGTTTGTATTTCCATTTCTTTTTGCACGCTCACCTTTCAACTCGAATTAACTTATTTTTCAAACTCCTGTACCTTACTCTAGTTCGGCGGGCTATAAAACTGTTGTTCTGGCTGGTAACTTCAACAAAACGTATGCTACCGTACGTAGAATGCAGGCAAAATATTGCGCATCAGTCGTAATTCTATTGGGATATGCATACTTTCTCCAGTCGGTGCGCTTTTTACTACCCCATCTAGGGGTATCCGACAGGAAGTCCGGCAAGAAGGCAGAGTTAGGGATGAGTTGCAGCGTGTGATGTGCGATGTAGACGTACAATGGTACATCCTATTTAACTTGACGCGAAATCACTACAGTACGCGCTGCGACTCGTCCGCTGACTTGCCTTCTTGCCGCGCGACGAGGCCTCCTGTCGGATACCCATCCGGCTAGCCATCAGAGGTTTTTTTGGCCGCTTACATATACCATGGTTCACATTCCTACTCGACGCATTGATTGGTTAGTATAGCTCGCCTGTTCTTCAAGATGGTCTACTGTGATGGTCTTGGCTCATTGTCAGCATACCAGCATGTGGTTTGTCGGCACTATATCAGTACCAGTGCCTTTAGAAAGATGAGCTTTGTTGTTGCTATGAGCTCGCGACGAATAGTTGGAGTAAATCCACTTTTCATCCAACTGATGATTACTGTCCACGAACTCCAACTTTTCGGTTTGTCGATACGTAAGTGGGGCTGTCTGCCCGTCTAAAAATACGTTATGGGTGCGGTGAGGAATGTTAATAGAAAGCACCGCTGATAAGTGTTTAGACATATGTGGTTAGTTTTTAACAATGCTATATAAGACCCCCATCTCTTTCTTTGATACTTTAATGCACTTGCTTCCACTCCACAAAGTATTAAGGACGCATCTTGTAGCCAGCATCTATTGAAGGTATCGCAACTTGCAAGAAAACAGTCCAGAAGGTCCCCCTGTCTTAATTCTGCTAGCTCCAGGGAGCGAAATAAGACCTAAAAAACAAAAGGTCTTGGTGATATGGAGAAAATGCTCCATTTGTGACTTGTACCGCCGTTAGCTGTGCAGGACTGCTGTGGTATCCATTGCCAATTCTGTTTCTTGTTCCATTCATACCGGGGACTGCGAAATTAGCGGATCGCTGGGTACAAGTCTGTCGCGACCTGGTGCCCCGAGGTGGTGGTGGATGAAGCGCATCGGTGGCGGAGCACCGAGGACACGGCAGAACGGGTATTAGAAGGGCCCGAACACCCTGTCCTAGGGGGATGCGTCGCGTAAGGAATGCTCTGACGACTGTTGCCTGCCGCGAGCCTGGTGAGGCCCTCTCCCCTATCTGATGACCTTACGTCCGTGCTACGAGGATGTGTACATATTACTACAACAGTTGGCGCCGCACGCATTGCGCGCACAGCACAGTTCTGCGGCGATATGGGATGGTGCGGCGTAATTCTCGAATTTGGCCCAATACACTTCGAATATTTGACTTTCAAGCTGAATTCTATCCGATTGTCCCATGCTCATCCACCGATGGCTTTTGACCTTCCCTCCTTCGTCCACCAATTGTCCGTAATCGTCAACCAATTGTCCGTTTTTCCCGGCTCGGACTGCCTCTGGACCGATTTATGAACCTCGTGGTAAACTCCGCCTATTTCTTTGCATGTCCCACCTATCTTTTTCTTCCTCGCCAACCTCTTCCCACTTTTTACCCGATCTCTGAACTGTCTCTGAGCCGATTTATATTTTGGCGGCGAAACCTGCTTTTTTGGTGTATCCTCCGCACACCATTAGAAATTCACTTCCTTTCCTTCGCCCATCTCCAGGACTTCTTGGAGCCGAGTTACAAATTTTCGTGATAACTCCGCCCACTTTGGTCATGCCCCGCCCACCAATAGCAGTTGGCCTCCACTCCTCCACCCACCTCCATCCACCTTTTTCCCGGCCTCCGGGACTTCTTGGAGCCGAGTTATGAATTTTCGTCGCAAACTCCGCCCACTTTGGTCAAGCCCCGCCCACCGATGACAGCTGGCCTCCACTCCTCCACCCACCTCCATCCACCTTTTCCCGGCCTCCGGGACTTCTTGGAGCCGAGTTATGAATTTCGGTCGCAAACTCCGCCCACTTTGGTGCACGCTCCACCCACCAATAGCAGTTGACCTCCCTTCCTTGCGGACTCAACTCACTTTTTCCCGGTCTCCAGGACTTCTTGGAACCGAGTTATGAATTTTCGTCGCAAACTCCGCCCACTTTGGTCATGCCCCGCCCACCGATGACAGCTGGCCTCCACTCCTCCACCCACCTCTATCCACCTTTTTCCCGGCCTCCGGGACTTCTTGGAGCCGAGTTATGAATTTTCGTCGCAAACTCCGCCCACTTTGGTCAAGCCCCGCCCACCGATGACAGCTGGCCTCCACTCCTCCACCCACCTCTATCCACCTTTTTCCGGCTCTTAAGACTTCTCCGGCCCGAATTATGAGGACTTGTAGAAAATGCTGTACACTTCAGAGCGCGCTCCGCCCATTGTGGGCGGGCCTCCGCCCACGTCATGTATGCTGGGAACACCTTAGACATTGCTCCCCTACACCAATTTGTTTTCTGCTCTGTAGGCTTTCTCCCAACCGAGTTATGAAATTTTTCATAAAGCACTGCTTTTTCGCCCCGCCCACCGGGGGTGGGTCTCCCTAATTCGATGTGACTTACCAATGCACACCTTTACCCACTTTTTGGCCCAGTTTCGAGGTGTTTTGTCACTGAAATTGAAATCTTGGTCGTCAGTACAGTTCATTTCGACGCACGCCACGCCCGGGGCTCCGCTTAGCTGATGTGTGTTTTGTACTTCGTGAGACCTTGCCCACCCATCCCACACTTGACCCGGTCCCTCCAGGCGGATCCCGAGGAGCTAGGGAATTTCGTGACAGACATACAGAACGACAGACGACAGACAGACGACAGACGACAGACGAAGCGCTTTATAGTAAGTAGGATGGAAGGTCCCACATTCGGTGATCTTTCCAAGTTATCAGGTGTAACTGAGTCAGAATGTGTATGTTATACCCAAGGAGGGGATGACCGTGATGTGTTTTTTTTTCATGCAAGACTTATTCAAACACCGGCCCTCATCTCGCTGTTCAAAATCGATACAAGCGATGGTATGAGCTGCAGTCGGCAAATCGCGGGAAGATGCTAGAAAGCATCCTATTTACCATTCAGACAATAAGGTAGTCGAGTAGCTTCTGCATGCCACGTCTCACATGGATTTCAGTTGATTCGAGAAGTCCTTTCAAGGACAAGATCAAGCTTTCTTGTTAGGAATGGATGTTGTCAGTTGAACCAAGGATAGTTCCATCGTGGGGTGCAATGTGAAATGGAAATCCAACAACTGAGAAGTGGTGCAGGATTTGTGATGGTTTAAGGTGTCTTCACACAAAAATGGCCTTACTACAAAAATTGATGGTGTAATGACGCAGCAGAACTATAGAAACGTAATGAATGGAGTTCGTCGTGGTATGAGCTCAACAAAACGTACTTGCGAGATGGACTCACAAGAAAAAATTGATGGTTTCTGACAGCATCAGTGGGACGTTTCGAATGGCGTTTTGAACATTTTATTATGCGAAAGTATGCGAGGGGCTCCAGAAACGGTTGGCTCAGCTTTTGGATAAATGAAAATTATGTCATTGACTGTTACCAAGGACTGGATGACCAGATCCACCCTGCA